CACACGTAGACGGGATGTTTCGACCTGTCAGCTCTTGTGCCCGAGCCCTCCTCCGGTCTTCTTGTCACGGGACGTAGGAGGATAAAGTAGAGGAGAGTGTGGCAGATGCTCTGCGAGCCTGCTATCACCGATAGCACTGCCGGCAAAGGCAAGGGGGACTTGAATGACCATTTCTGACTTATTAGCCATCATCAGCCAGCCATACCCAACTCCAGGTGGTGCACCAACCTTTTGATTGGAAGTCTAACGCGTTAACCCCTGCACATCGGGTGGTGCACCACTTGGGGCTGGGTATGGCTGGCTGATGACGGCTAATAAGCCAGAAATGACCATTGCATTGTCTTTGCCGACAATTCCCTCTCCCTAGACTGCTAGCCGCTGTGCGGCTGCTGGCGGGGCTCGAGAATGAACCTCAAGGCAGAGCGGGATGAGTGAGTTCCGTAACCGGTCAGTAAAGGTTAATCAAGGAGCGTCTGCTATCACTTTACAATATTTCGCGCGTATGTCACCGTCAAGCGCGCTTCAGGCTGTTCGCGGCGGCCAAACTGGTGATCTGCTTTGAGGACGAGCCGACTCCCTGTCCGAATCCTATATCGTCCCGTCTTTGGATTATGGTATGTCTGATTGACTGTGGCAAAAAACCGTGAACTGTACCATTCAAGTCCTTTTTGTGCATTTAGGTATGTTTCATAAGTTAGTTTTGCTATGTTATCGTAGTGGGACTTAATATTTGAAGTAGAATGCCAGCGTGGGAATCAGTGTAACGTTCACTTACGACACAATACACATCACGGGGAAAGGGGACTGTAATCCGAATTCAGTCCGAGCCGCCTCGAACGTGCATCATTTTTCACGATTCGCCACACTGATGCAACCTCTTCACCGGAAGGGTAGTTTATAAGTATCACTATAGCATCCCATAACCGCATAATTTCGTTTTTTTTTCGGAAGTGGGGGTAAAATGTAAGCTATCCCTTTTGCATACATACTTTAACAGCAATCAGACGTTGGAGCTTATGAAAAGCTAATTTAGTAATACTGTCTTTCTGTTATATCTAAGTATTTACGTAATTACTGTGTAGATACTATAATTTAACTTGCTTTTCAATAGTTGTAACGGGCAGTCCCTAGTAGATTAAATGGCTATTTTTATTTGCTTTAGATACCTACCAAATAAAGATTTTAAACGCTTATATCGTTAGCATATCAAGAGTTTTGGGGCTACGTGCTACTATGGTGATACTTGTAAACTATTCTTGCTCTCTTCACATATCTGAACTCTGGCAACCATACGGTGCCCCGATAAATAGGCATGCAAACTGTAACAGAACTACTCCTGCACAGAACTACTCCTGCACAGAACTACTCCTGCACAGAACTACTCCTGCACAGGCCCTGGCTGATAGAACAGTCTTTTATTAATTGCATTAAACTAACCCGTTACCTCTTGTAAATAACCCAAATTTTAGTCAGAATGTTTAAGAGCTTTGCCACCTAAACCTCGCGGAGCACTCCAATCAACTGATAAGTCTACAGAACTCTCTTGTCGTTAGTGACCATGCCAGGACCTAAACATGTGTGGAAGGCACTTTCTACGTCATGCCTGTTCGTTCTAAGTCAACTTTAGTTGGAGTCTTAGGTCCGCCGAGGCCGCATGGTGAAAGGTATAAAAGACCCTACCACACAGGGGCAAATACGAGTGCGAGGTGGATTAAAATAAATCCACCGTATTTCTGAGAAAACTGAGTTCACAGAGGGAGTGGGTGGAGTGTGAGACGGCAAAGCCAATTTCTTTCTCGGAAAGTCGTTCTTCCTCTCCTCACAATTATCTTAACCTAGCACTAACTAAAGCCCTATTTGTACCCTTCGATCCTGGCTTCTCAATAAGCTCGCCCACAAACTGACCAGGTACCGGTTAATGCTCCTTCAAAGCTCATTTGCTGAATTCCTTCCTTCCTCGGACTGAAAACCGGTGAATATAAGATGCGTCGATTGTGTCCGATATACTTTCATGTGGAAAATATTGCTTGGTAGAGGGACAAGGTTGGGGTATGCGGCCCTTGTAGGTGGAAAACCCTAACCCTAACAGCAACACTTTAAAGCGGTCAAGCAATTCGCTGATCGCATTTTTGCTGAGGTTGTCCATACTCTATACACTGAATTAATGGTTGCTAAGTCTTCCCATACTATGCGCCGAAGCTTCCGACATACGCCATGTCATACATCGGCCTATCAACACTCTGTATACCCATTCCTAGCACGTTACCTCACGTGTAAAGAAACGGAAATCCAGAAGCTGAGATTGGACCTGTCTCCATAACAGATGCGTAGTTTACGTAAACCTTTAATTTTGTGAGTACTTCGTTAACGTTATAAAGTATGTAGTTATTAGTAATCTTTGTTATATGGTCATGCTGAACAATCGTCTTATCTCTTCCACATTTTTTATACTTCCGTGGAAACGTACACATCAGTACTCGATCCGCATACTGATATTCAGGCATAGTACTCGCGAAAATGTACATAAAGTCAATTATTTTCCTCTGCTAACGCCCGTTCGATTCAAACCTGAAGCCCAAATTTCGACATCTGACCGAATCCCCAAATTTTGACGCCCTAAATATCGGTGGATCAGTGTACTCGGCGGCTTCAGATGCATACTTTAAAACTGCCGACTCCCTGGGCGGGGTCTAGACTATACTACTTATATCCACCTTCAAGCGTAGGGGTATCCCGTAAAACTGCGCAACGAATCAGAAATGCCCCTTGGTAGATCGCGTGCATCGCATAAGAAGAAGAAAAAGAGTCGTAATGTCTAAAAATATACTATGTATATATGTGTGGCTCTGTGTGTGCATAAATTATGCATATGGGGGTTATTGAAAGAGAGAAAGCAGGTCTGGGAAAGTCAGTGTTTAAAGCAAGTTACGTCAATTCTGTGCGCTAATCTCTTCACAGTGGTCGCCACCGACCAGGGCTGCAATACTGAGGGGTAGAAGTTTGTGCGATGAGTTGGCACATCTCTCGGTGCCGTCGAAATCCGTCGCCCCCGCCATCGCGGAGAAGGAGGCGCTGGCAGTCGGATCTTCGGCTTCATCAACCTGCCCCCCACCACAGCAAGACAGTTC